TCCGGTGAAGGGCATGTACCTGGGTTGCGGGCACATCCCCAGTAGGAGATGTGCAGGAGGCAGCTGATCGATGTTTCTCTCTCATCGATGTTTCTAACTCTTTATCCCTCTCCCTTCCTTTCTGTAAAAAATCAATAAAATAAAATAATTTTTTAAAAAGACCCCTCCCTCCAATCTCTCACCAGTGTCCCCATTGACCAAACCAAACAGGAAGCTAGAGGCCAAGAAAGACGAGTGTAATCCATACAGAATGGCCCAAGGTCCGAGCACATTCCCAAGAGTATGACAGGGAAAGGCAGAGAGTGGGTCTGAAAAAGCAAAAAAGATGCAGCATACTCTTACTGTTATTGATCTTATTATTAAGAAGGTAATCAATAATAGTATTGATTGGTTTTTTAATTCCGCATCATGGTGTAAGAGGTCCTTGAAGGTCTGGTCCCCCTCTTCCTACCCTGTTATTCCTACCTCCCCTATTGCTCTCTGAAACACAGAGGTTGCCCGGGAGGGGGTGGGAGAGAACCTTCAGGTCTACACATCTGTCATAACTCCTTTAACAGTGCACTGAGCCTTTGTGCATCTCAGTGTATGTAAACTTTACCTGAAAACTAAACAAATAAGAATGAGCTGTAAGTAATATTGAACTTTAGTTTTTTGTTTGTTTGTGGGGTGTGTTTTTTTTTAATTCTCACCCTAGGATATGTTTATTGATTTTAGAGAGAGAGGAAGGGGGAGAGAAAGAGAGAGAGAGACATCAATGTGAGATAGAAACATTGATCAGTTAACGTCACACATGGGATCGTGTTGAGAGGGAAATGTACTGGTGACGGCAACTCACTTTGAAATGACGGGCAGACCGAGGGAGAGAAAGGTGAGTGTGTATGTGATGAAGCAATTAGAGTCAACTGGTAATTGTCGAATCCAGGGGATGGGTACACCTGTGTTCACTGTAAAATTATTTCAGCTTTCCTGCATGTTTGCAGTTTTTCATGAAACATGTTTGGGAAAATATAAAACATTGGCGAGGGTGTTGAGTCAGCGCAGATATTTGGGTTTTCTGGGTTAGAGGGGCCGAGAAAACAGAATTTCTCTGGGGCTTTCCACAGAAACCACAGCCACTTCCCTGCTGCGCTCGAGGAGGAATGCTGCCAGCGGCCCAGGCCCCGCTCCTGCGGAAGTCAGCCTTTCGGTAGAAAACGCAGGGAAGAGGGAGGCAGAGACCGCGGCCTCTGGTGGAAAACCCTGCGGGGAAGACATCTGCTTCGCATCTGAGCTCATTTATTATTCAGTCAACAGGCATTTATTGAAACCCTCCTCGGTGTCTGGCCCTGACGTGAGCAGCGGTGCTAAAAACAGCCCTGGCATTGCCCTCAGGGGACTGAAATCCAGGGGCAGAGAGAGACTTGTTCTTCAGATGGAGGTGATGCAAAAGGGATCAGGACAATTCCAGGGGGAGCCCTGGGGCGGTGGGGGCCCCACAGGAGGCACCTGATCCCGACTGGAGAGGGCATCCTGGGCTGAGTGAGTCTTGAAGGCGTAGGTGTCAGCCAGGCAGGGCGAGGGCAGGACGAAGGAACGGGAACGGCTGGGCAGTGAGCAGCAGAGTGTGGTGCCTACAGAAATGTCAGTCCGGGTGGGGAGAGGCTGAAGATGAGCCGGGAGCGGTGTGTACGGTGCTGAAGGGCAGGTCTGGCCTCAGAAGCCGCGGGAGCATCTGGGCCTTGTCCTGACAGCGCTGGGAAGCGGAAAGGGTTGCAGCCGGTGGGAGCCTTGACCAGATCCGCACACAGGCCAACTGCAGAGCAAGCGGAGCGGGTGGGGAGGCCCGTTACGCCGCCCTGACAAACAACTCCAGAACCCAGGGGCTCAAAACAAACAAGGTTTATTCCTCTCGCGTTGACATTTGTCGCGGGCTCCCAGGGTCCTCTTCCCCATCATCCTCACTCCCCGACCCTGGCCCTGTTGGGAAGGTGGGTGGTCCCGTCCACAGGACAGAGAACATCCGCGCAAATGCTTCCACCTGGAAGCACCCCTGTCGCTCCTGCTCTTATTCTGTGGCCGCACGTCTTGCAGGTGCGGGAAAGGCGAGCCTCCCCGGTGCCCAGGATAGAGGGGGCCTGGCTATCGGCCACCAGGGGCAATGCCACCATGAGACGTGAGCGCCAACGCAGCAAGAACAGAACGTGGGCAAGACGCGAGGGAGCCTGGACTCAGAGAGGGGACAGAGAAGAAAATGGATCAATTTGAGAAACATTTGGGAATCACACAGAGTTCTGTATCTGCCGGTGATCTGTCCTAATTCCTTATTCTGAAAAATAAAAAGGAAAATAAAGAAAAGGAAAAAAATAAAAATAAATAAATACAAGGTAACATTTACATGCCCAGATCGTTTCTAAACCAGTGCCGTCCAATAGAGACATGATGTGAGCCACATATGTTGTTTTTAACTTTTTAGGAACCACATTAGGAAAAGCACCAAGAAACAGGTGAGGTTATCATATTTTAACCCAACATATCCAAAATATGAGCCTTTCAGAATGTGATCTATACAAAAATGATCAGTGAAGTATTTTACGTTCTTTTATTTTTCCTCCTTAGTCCTCAAAATGCTGTATTTTACCTTCACAGCATGTCTCTATTCAGACCAGTCACATGTCTCTCTTTCTTTTTTTAAAAAACTACAGTACATTTTATTTACAAAATGTAAATACCGAATACTACTCATGTTTTGTCACCATGGAAAGACCTCCACAGCCAAGTCAGAGAGGCCAGAGAAAGATGGGGCCCACGAAAGGCAGGGCCGCCATACTGCACAGGGCAGACACAGACATATTGGCTATGGGTATCCTCACAATAACCCTGTAAACTAGGCACTAGTATTGCTTCTCCTTTAGAGAAGAGGAAACTGAGGCACAGGAAGATGAGGGACTTGTCCCAACTCACAAAGTGGTGGAGGAGCAGAGCTTTGGACCCAGACAGCGGAGCTCCTGGGCACCGACTGAGATGGGCGGCTACACAGGTCACATTTAAGGTGGGTGAGCGAGCGCCCACGGGGCCACTCCACCCCCGGGGGAAGGCTCAGCGTGGACAGAATGATTATTATTTTTTAAATATGTTTTTATTGATGTGAGAGAGAGAGAAAGGTAGAGGGGGGAAGAGAGAAAAAGAGAGAGAGAGAGAGAAAGAGAGAGAGATCGATGGGAGCCTGCACACCAGGAATCCAACCAGTGACCTTTTGGTGCACAGGACGACGCACAGCCAGCTGAGCCACACCAGGTGGGCAAGATTGATGGTGATTTTTGAGGACCCTGAAGGGGAAACCCACTGTTGGACCCAAGCAAGGGGGCGTGGTGGGATGAAGGGATACGGGAAAAGATTGAATTACCTTCCCCTTACTTGCCGTAGGTTACCAAGGAGTTAGAAAAATCCCCTTGGGAATCTGGCTGCAGACTGGTGGCTGCAAATGCACAAATGCCGATTCTTTACGTTGGATGTGAGACAGGCCAGGAAGCCAGGACAAGTGGGACAGGGAAACTGAGACAGATGCTGAACAAACCCAGAGCAATTTACAGCAGCTACAGAAGGTCACCTCCCCACAGATGACATCTAGGCCTCAGTTGTATTTCAGCTCCAGACCCAGAAAAGCAGGGAAACCAGGTGGGCCACACCAGAACCACCCCGCCCTGACAGTGACCAGTCCGTGGAGACCAGGACCCTGGAGGAGCACACCTGGAAAAGTGATGAATATTCTGCTGAAACCCTCCCCTAAGACTCCCACCTGAGCGAAAGAGATAAAAGCCTCAACGCAAAAGACCCATGCTCTAACCCAGCCGTGGGCAAACTACGGCCTGAGGGCCAGTTCCTCTTTT